TCCAGCCCCGCCCGGCTGATGCTCCGCCCGGCCACGTCGGTCCAGTAGATCATCCTCTCCCGGCAGTCGTAGTCGATCCCCACCACGATGGAGCCCTGCCAAGGTCAGGACAGGGACATGGGCTGAGATCCTGCCAGGAGGCTCAGGGAGAAACCTCAACCCATCAGCCAGCACTGCCTGGGACACGCTGCAAGGGGGGAATGACACTCAGACCCCATTTCCCCAGCAAAACCCTGCTCTGTTCCCACTGCGCCCCCCAGGCTGAGCCCCTCAGCAGAGGATTTTAGGCCAGCTGGTGCAGGCTCAGCCCACATCCAGATGGATTTGAAGCCTTTGCCTGAAGGACAGGGGGCTCCAAGAGCAAAGCCAGCCCGGGGAATGACCTTCAGGATGGGGAGAGGGAATACTTGGCAAGGTCCTTCACTTCCCCGGGGTCCTGGCCCAGATTCCTGCGTTCCTCTGCCTTGCTCTGGCCTGGCTGGAGAGGCACGTGGCCACGCTCCAAGGGGAGTCCAGGGAAGGAAAAAAGGCCAGCCCTGCAGCTGGAAGTCTGGGCTGAGAGCAACCCTGGAGAGCTCTGGGAGCACCTGAACTCCTTCCCTTCATGAGCAGTCCCAGGTCTGAGACCTGTCTCTCTGCTGGGGATGGCTGGAGGGAGGAAAAGATAGAATCCATAAAATCCCAGACTGGTTTGGGTTGGAAAGGACCTTAAAGATCATTCATCTCCACCCCTTCTATGGGCAGGGACACTTTCCACCATCCCAGGCTGCTCCAGCCAGGTCTCGGACACTTCCAGGGATCCAGGGGCAGCCACAGCTTCTCTGGTCACCCTGTGCCAGGACCTCCCCACGCCCCAGTCAATAATTTCATCCCAATATCCCATCTAACTCTGCCCTTTGTCATTGGGAAGCCATCATCACTTCCCCAAAGCGCCACCAAGGCAGCCAGCACAGCCAACGTCCCCCTGAAACCCCGACAAGTGCTTCAGAGAGAGCTGAAAACGCCGAGGGGCAGCACCAGCCTGTCCCAAACTCCCTGGGTGCTCCTGCACCCCATCCCCACCCCAAGGATACCGTACATGCAGGGAGAGCAGGGTCTTGGCCGCCTCCTTGTGCAGCCGGGTGCCGTTCAGCGGCAGGTAGCCGATCTGCTGGCCCTGGGCGTAGAGCAGGAACGTCCCCGCGGCCGGCGGGGACACGTCGGGCCGGGGCTCGGGCCGGACGCTGGGCGGGGTGACACTGGGCAGACCTGGCGTGTCGGAGGGGACAGGGATGCTCAGCTGGCGTGGTCCCCTCGGCTCCACGCCCGCAGCGGGGCGCGGCGCCCGCGCCGTCGGTGGCCAGGGTGGCTTTGGGGCGCCGGGCTCTTACAGGGCGGGGTGGTGCCGGGCTCGGAGCGCGTCCCCGGGATCTCCCTGCCGCTCTGCTCCACGCACCAGCAGTAGCCGCTGTCCCCGTGGCACTGCAGCGGGGTGAAGTCCCCGCTGGGGTCACACTGGGGCACGTACTGGTCCCCGCGGGGGCTGCCGCCGTAGTGCTCCAGCAAACTCTGCCGCCAGCGCTCGCACATGCTGGGGGGCCGCTCCGTGGGCTCTGGCAGGGGAGGGTGACAGTCACCACCCTATCCGGGGGACTCAGGGCTTTGCAGAGCCCTGTGTCCCCCTCTCCCTGCTGGCCGTGCCCCCACGCTGATGCTGCCCCGGGCACTGACCTGGGCTCCCGCAGCGTGGCGGGGTGGTGCCCGGCGCCGTGCGGGTGCCGGCGATCTCCTGCCCGGCGGCGTCCACGCACCAGCAGTG